CCAACAATAAAGACAGTAACAACAGGAACAGCATGGGAAAAAACAGAGAAGTGGATTTTATTAGGGTTGTCAAAAGTATCGATACTTAAAAAAGTATTGATACTAAAATACTAAATGTATCCGGAAACAATACTCATTTTCAAAAGTATCTATACCCCCCCCACTTCTCTCAGATTTATTTATTTATTTACGTTGTTTATGATCATTAACGTGACGTTAACCTTGAATTGCTAGCTGCGGCTAATGGCTAATAACAACACGCCATCATTATTCAAGTCTGCAGGAAGCCAAGGATGGAGATCCAACTCCCCCACATCCAAGTCGGCCATTTTGATTAGGTCACCAATAGGAAGATCCCAGGCAAGAAAATCCTAATTGCCTCATGGCAAGATAGACATTCCTTTAAAATTAGAATTAGAGAGTTTTGATCATCTGTCAAATCCGGGATAAAGGCAGTCTTCCTCATGATGTTGAGTTCATTGTATATAGATAGATAGATAGATAGATAGATAGATAGATAGATAGATAGATAGATAGATAGATAGATAGATAGATGAACGTGACACAAGCATTTCCATATAAATACACATATATTTTTTAATAATTTCCCTCTGGGATTATTAAAGTATTTCTGATTCTGATTCTGTATTTACTCAACTACGTGTCTTTTTGTTGTTTTTGGGTTAGCATTTGCTGCTTTTATTCAAAGCGTTGAAACAGAAACGTGAGTAAGGATAAAAACGCTTCACGTTCTCCTGCCACTCTGAGCATTGAACACAGGTGTGAGTGATGATAGTTCCTTACCCGGGAACTAATGGCCCTAAATGGACCATCAGGGTGATTACGTCTCTCTGTGGTTAATGAGCTGACATCGGAGGAGTTTTACAACTACAGTCACTCAGAAACATCCAAAATGAGAATAGACATTTGAAAGGGAACGCCTCAGAAATGGTCCATGAAGTCCTGTTGTTTCTTCTGAAAGAAAAATGTGAAGGAGGTGTTAGAGTTTGGTTATAATTGCTCACTTTAGCATGGGATGCTATCACATGATCTATTTATTTATTTATTTATTTAATCAGGACAGTGCACATTAATGAACAATCTCATACAGATTGTAAATGAGCCAGATTCTAGCATAGTTGCTAGTTTACATCTGTCGTCCTGAGGCAGGAAGACCAAACAACACAAAATCACAAAATACAAAATCAGTCCAAACACACGTTCAGACAATGACATTACAAAATTAAAATTAATTCAATTCAATTAAATTTAATTTATATAGCGCCACATCACAACAACAGTTGTCTCACAGCGCTTTCCAAACCGTGAGCAAGCACTAGGCGACACAGTTTTGTTATAATTACTCATTTTAGCATGGGATGCTATCACATGATCTATTTAAAGAATGTTGTATTCCTCACAGAACTATAGTTTTGTGTTAAAGTCTTTTCCCCGGGGGAACCAGGACCAGAGGGTTCTGGGTTGGAGTCCCCGGGGGAACCAGGACCAGAGGGTTCTGGGTCGGAGTCCCGGGGGAACCAGGACCTTTCTGGGTGGTTCTGCATGTTCTCCTGTGTCTGTGGGTTCTCTCCGGGTTCTCCGGCTTCCTCCCACCGTCCAAAAACCTGCATGTTAGGTTGTTGGACTCCAAACTGCCCTTAGTGTGAGTGTGTGTGGTTGTTGGTCCTTGTGTGTCTCTGTGTGTCCCTGTGATGGACTGGGGACCGTCCAGAGGGACCCCGCCTCTCCCCATTGGCTACTGGGATAGGCTCCGCCCCTCCAAACCCCATTAGGGAACAAGTGGTTACGATAATGGATGGATGGATGTCTACCTACAAATATAAAAACAAATCCCAGCCATACCCAACCACGTCTGGATCAACACCAAGAAAACAACCTGCCTACCACCAGCCTCTAACCCTAACCCTAACCCTAACCCTAACCCGGACGATGATGGAGGGGTTGACGTCCCACATGCGCTCGGGAACCTAGGGGACCGCGAAATAACCGGGAGTCTTCTCTAGGGTCAGCTTCCCTGGGAGGGTGAAGGGTATCTGGAATCGGTACCAGGCCAAACCTCTACGGAAGTGGACTTTTCCGTGGTTTTAATTGAGCTAAAATGTCCAGTTACAAATAAAAAAACAAATCCCAGCCCCATCAACCCAAGTCCTCGTCTCACCCTATGGATCAACACCAGGAAAACGACCTCCCTACCATCTCAAAAAACAACTTATTGGGCTTCCTGAAGTACCGACAAAGTTTATCCAAAGCCTGGGCGCTAATGGGGGCGTGGGGCCTTCCTTTGGACTCGTCCAGACACTTGTCGTGTCCCTTAGACAGGAGGCAGTAGAAGCCCTTGGTGGTGTTGAAGTAGAAGTTCCCGGGGTTAATCCTCGGGGGGAGATCCAGGAACCGTTCGGCCTTCCTCAGCTCGGGGAAGGGGTCCCGGATGAGGGCGTCCCCGTCCACCACGTGGATGGATCCCCTACGCGTTCGGGAACCTGGGGGACTGCGAAATAACTGGGAGTCTTGTCCAGGTTAGGCTTACCTTGGGGGGTGAGGGGTATCTGGGCTTGGTACCATGCCAAACCTCTACGGAAGTGGACTTTTCCGTGGTTTTGATTTAGGTAAAATGTCCAGTTACAAAGAAAAAAACAAATCCCAGCCCCAACCACCCAGGTCCCTGTCTCATTCTCTGGATCAACACCAAGAAAACGACCTCCCGACCATCTCGAAAAATAATTTATTGGGCTTCCTGAAGTACCGGGCCAGACCTCTACGGAAGTGGACTTTTCCGTGGTTTTAATTGAGCTAAAATGTCTACTTACAAATAAAAAAACAAATCCCAGCCATACCCAACCACGTCTTGATCAACACCAGGAAAACGACCTCCCTACCATCTCGAAAAACAACTTATTGGGCTTCCTGAAGTACCGACAAAGTTTATCCAAAGCCTGGGCGCTAATGGGGGCATGGGGCCTTCCTTTGGACTCGTCCAGGCACTTGTCGTGTCCCTTAGACAGGAGGCAGTAGAAGCCCTTGGTGGTGTTGAAGTAGAAGTTCCCGGGGTTAATCCTCGGGGGAAGGTCTAGAAACC